TGCAGGAAAACCAGATGGTAATAAACATGGTAAAAGGTTTGTCGGACACCCATGATCAACAACAAAAAAACGATCTCAGAAAAACTTCACCTGAACACCTCCTGTGATCTTATGAAATCAATGCAAAGACTGTTCTTTCCAATGTTCGTGTAACAAAAATATGCTGGAAAGGTGTTGGTTTATAATTCAGTCTGCAGGGAAGACGAAAGCTGAGATCATATGATCTGGAGAATTGAGTTTCAAATTGTTTTAGCAGGCTGTCAAACTTGATAAGTGGGCATCCCAGCTGGTGTAGTTGAGCGTTCAGCTTTATTCAGCCTTCAAATCGGACTTTGAATTTTCTCCATTGCAAATAAAGCAAAAGCTAATGTGAAGGTTATATTGTCACTCAATCACCGAGGATTGGATAGCACATGCTACCAGTGGACTATCAATGATCGGATGCTTGTTTCATTGGATCATCAGGGACTGGATGCATATGGTGCCATCTCTGACAACTAAACTAGGGGCCTCAGCTCTAATGAGATCAGTCACACACTCTTACCATCAGCTCGGGCCAATTAATAATAATAATAATAATAATCCTTGCATTTGGTATAGTGCGTTTCACATCGGGAGGACGTCCCAAAGCGCTTCACAGAACACACTGTAAAGTGAATTGATTGTATATTTGTGGGCGAACGCGGCAGCCAATTGCTCCACAAACAGTCGTAGATTGAAAATGACCAATTTATTAATGTTTTTGGTTTTGGAGGGATTATTATTAGGCGTGTGGAGTAAGGAAACTTGCCCAAGGTTTCGCCCTCTGCCTGGAATTGAACTCAGGTCTCTCACTTGCAAAGCGAGTGCTCTAACCACTGAGCTACAGGACTCCACAATTGATAAACATTGTAATTCCCGAGGCACATCTGTCCCATATACAACATGAACGATCAGAAGCACGTAGAATAACTTTGTAGCACCACAAAAAAACACACACACTGTTGAAATAAAACAAAATTAAACCTTAAAACCAGAGGGGAAAAAAAGGCCAGAAGAATATTTTACACTCCAGCCCTCTGTACAGTGTGGAGTCCTGTAACAATAATCCTTGCATTTTGATATAGCTCCTTATCACGTCTTCGAGAATCTCAAAGAGCTTCACAGATAATACTGCGCAATGCAGCAGCCAATTGCACACAGCAGTGTCCCACAAACAATCGTAGATTGAGTGACCAAATTAATTTATTTTTATTTATTTATTTTTGAGGGAATTATTACCCCCGGAAAAGCGATCCGCCAATCGACTAACAACCGGGGTCCTAGTTACTGCTAGATAAATAAAGGTGTATGGAGTAAGGACACTTGCCCCACATTTCACCCTGCCAGCAATCAAACCCAGGTCTTCTCGCTTGTGGGGTAAGTGCTCTAACCACTGAGCTGCAGGACTCCACACTTCCCAGGCCTTTAGCTATCACTTTACATGGATCACATTGGTGGATGATGACTATTAGAAACAGAAGTTACATAACAGTAAGCCCTTCTTGGGTATACAACAACAATAAAATTACATGCGAGTAGCGCATTTCGCGTTGGGTTGGACGTCCCAAGATGCTGGATACAAAATATCTTTGTCTCAGCTAAGTGTTGTAACAAGCAAACAGTGTAACAAGATCAACGTATTATTACAATATTGTTTTTCTATTAATTTGATGATTTGAATCTATAAATTTGATGATTTCAATCTATAAATGTGATGATGTAAATGTCCTGAACTGCATTTTAAAGCTATATTCTTTTTTAATTTTTTTAATTAACAAGTTAATTATAACTTGTGTTTTAAATAATTGATTTATAACTTGCTGTATTTTCTCAGATAGTTCCCACAGCTCATTGCAATGCATTATTAATTACTCTATTATTCTATCTATTATTCTCCTTGTGTTGCCCTGGCTCTTACATGTTAATTAGCCACCAAAACCTTAAATAAAAGATTAAATAATGTGAATAGAATGTTACACACTGAAATCACTTTATTTATCGAAACCAAGCCCACAGATAGAACCAAGCAATCATTTTCAGTCATTGCTGGATTGCTGTTCATTAAATGTAAATTGCATGTTTTTTTGCATAGAATCATACTGTAAAAAAAAGCAATTTGGCCCAATTAGTCTGTTTGTACTCCACATTAGCTCTCAGCCCTCCTACTCCCCTTATTCCCTTTTTTCGCATTTGTGTGCAACAAGTTTCCTCTTAAATACCTTGAAGCTTTTGGCTTCAACCATAGCTTCCGGCAGCAAGTTCCACATTCTTTTGTCTAAGTCTTAGTAGCAGTTTCTAGGCGGAGTAACTGAACATGGTGACAATACTTTAAAGAGTGTGGATGTAAATTGCAGTTTTAGATTGGAGTGTCTGTAGGACAATGTCAGTGTGAGTTTGAAATGAGTACGATAGCTCTGATATATTTGCATGTTACAGAGTATGTAAGTTGTCTATTATCTGTCATTGTATTATTGAGCTGAAGTGTTTGTAGTGATGGCAGGCAGTGTGATTGAGTGCTGTGTGTTCTGAAGTTACAGTGGCCAGTGAAGTGCAATACATAGTGAATGACAACATTGTGTGTATTGGTTTGCCAATTATTAATTTTTCCAGCTAACATACTGAGTATCCTATATTCCATTTGGATGACAGGGGAGTGAATGATGGAATTTTAAGTGTTGAGCAGCTTGTTCTTTTTTTTTGGTAACATAAGAAATTCAGACCTTTTTTTGTGCTGCAAAAAAAATGTGGTATTGCCATCAAAGTCTTAATTACATCTTGCTACGGTCACCTTCCCCGTCTTGGTGTAAGGCTCCGTCACTGTTAAGCACTCCGAGACACTGCTCCACGTGAAGGGGCGCTATATAAATGCATGTTGTTGTTGTCGTTAACTGCTGAGTTATGGCTAGGTTAACTTCACTTTGTTAATTCCATTTTTTTTCTGCATTAACATGTGCTCTTTTTTGGGTGTGAGATGTAGCACTAGCAATCTCAAAGGAAGAACCGGATGTGTCGGTAATCAGATGATGTTCCTCTAAGCGTAGAACATTTGTTTCATCATATCGATAAATCTATATCTCTTTGAGGCCAAGCTAGCAGGTGTATGTTCCTCTACCACTTAATCTCTGCTAAGCTCAGACATGAGTAGGCTTGTTGTAACAGCTCATGCCACCAGAGCAGTGTACTCTTTAATACATATATACCCTGCAGGAGTTAAAAACTCAGTCACACAAATGATAACGAAGCTGTAAAACTCTCATCTTCTTTCAATTAGTGTGACAGCATCTATAGCTGAGGGAAAAGGATGTTGGGAAGACGAGCGAGGGTAGGTGAGATGTGCACTGGGAAATTATTGAAAAAGACGAGACATTTTTACGAAGGTGCCAGAGGCCACAGGTCCTTGGCTTCTGTTTGTGGATACCGTCAGGTGTCAAATGCTGGGATCTGAAAAAAGACTTCAGACTTCCCTATAACAAGTTTGCATTATTTAGTTGGAAATGGATATATCGCAGTTCCTGTCTTGTTGGACCTGTGGAATCTGTCTTGAATGTGTGCCAACATCTGCAGACTGATCAAGATGCAGCCACTGGGATATATTCCCCTAGGACACCACTTTAATTTCCCTGAACCTTTAAGAATGACAACCTTTGGGAGTCAGAGGATGGCTTGAACGGCTTTGATTCCCTCTAACACTCCTTTCACGTTGCCTGCTGCCTCAAACCAGCACATCGTTTCTGTAGAACAGGCCAGGTGCCCTCGTTCAACAAGTCGGGCAGCCTTCATAGCTGGTGGCAGGGGAGCAACTGGTGGCAGGGGGTGACAGTAGATGTGGCTTCTCCCAGCTCGGTGAAGGCTATGATAGATTACATAGCAACATTCGTACAGGAAGAAAGACAAAAACCAAGGCCGCCCTCAGTAATGATTTCAAAAGACAATTTACACTTGCATGAAGATAAAGTACCTCAAGTACCTGACTGATTCCCTGCCGAATTTTTATGCAGTCCATGTGGACTAATAAAGGACTTCACATCACACTTGCTATACTAACACACTTAACACACTAGCACTGCACACAGACTGTATCACTAGGTTGGGCTCCCCTACTCCTGTATGCCTTGCCGTCATACCTTCTTCAACACCCTGCACTTTTAAGCTTGTGAACTTTATACTAATTACAGAAGCAGTAATTAACCTTCGTTCTCGGCTCGTTCTTTTCTCCAATCCCTTCTTCGGGAAAGTTGGGGGTTAAATAATGCTTTTCCCTAACAATAGTGATTTCCACTGAATTGTAATCATCGGAAGTTCCCGTTATAAAGAGCAAATGGGAAAGGTCGCTTTTTTTTAACAAACGCAGGACAGCAGTTCGTTCCCCCATTGTCTTCACAGGCAGAAGAAGCTGTTGTGAAGATTTGAAGAAATCACGTAAATATCAGCGAAAGATAGAGAAAGAGAAACTTGTATAATTATACCTATAACATTAAAACATATCAAAATGCTTCACACAACAACAACAATTTATACAATACCAAATTACATTACATAACGCCTTTCACGTCGGGAGGACATCCCAGGGCGCTGGACAGTCAGGGATTTATATTTGTATACTGCCCTTCACATGAGGTATCAACGCGGAGCACTTCAGTAATTGCTGCCCATGTGTAGCGACTGCTCTTGTGGGAAAACGTTCTGTGTGTAAGGAAATTGAACTGATTATTATTTGCACTTTTATTTTTTCCATTGAAAACCGGAAGCTTCACATGACTTGCAGCATGGATGCCATTAAAGAGAGGACCTCGAGAGATACCACAAAGTGTCTCAGTGGACAATGGCTAAATGAAAAGTGGTTTTTTTTCTTATGTTTTTAGGCTGTATGAAACACTGTGGCTAAGTACCTGATTATTGCATTGTTATTCTCCATCTCAAGTGACTTTGAATAAACGTATTGATTTGAATTTCATAATACACTGTATTTTTCTTCGCAGGTTCCTCCGAGACTTTTGTCAGGGGCTGAGTCATCTCTGAGCCATCAAGCTGGTAAAAGTGGATATAGCTCGCCTACCCAGAAACCTGAGGCTGTGGTACATGCAATCAAGGTACTGAGTACAGTCATAAAGCGGGTGCAATGCCTGCGAAGATTTACTCTATTTCCTTGGCATTTCAGAGGGATATCCAGGATTTGGCAAATTCCTTAAAGGCAGTCTTCATTTTTGAAGCCTGTAAATTATTTTAGGAACTGCAGGAAATTGACTTCGGACGTAAGACTGAATTCAGTGATTCAGAATTCCGCTGAAATCCGATGTACAATACACAATTACATTTGTATAGCGCCTTTCACGTCGGGAGGATGTCCCAAGGTGCTGGACAGTCAGGGATTTGGACCCGAGCGGGAGAGTGGGGATAGGGAGTGTTGGGATCAGGGAGGTTAGGAGGGTGGCTGAAGGCACGGTCGAAGAGGCGGGTCTTGTGATGTGCCTTGTATATAGAGTGAATCTAGAAGGGTGAGGAATTTCTCCCTCATTGTTGGTTCAAATGGTAAGCGTTTAGTGCTACATTACTTAACTTTGAGTGTAACACCCAGACTACAGGTAAAGAGTGAATTAGGACCACAAGGGAAATTCCCATGCCTATGTGGAGCCCTCAGTTGTCTGGTTCGACACTGTGATAGCAGAAACTTGTCTGACCAGAAAAAAATAGACAAAGAGTTATAAATGATACCTTAAGAGATTCTCGATAGCTGGGCTGTCTGACATTCAATCATTCCTTAATTACCATTCAATGCTCTTTTTTTGTGGGCTATTCGCAGAGACGTGATAAGGCGCTATATCAAATACAATTATATTTTTTTCCCCCTGGTTTATTTCAATGTGTGGTGAATTCATTTTCTGAGGAACAAAAAAATGGTTTTGCATCAATCTCATGAAATAGCAAAGGGTCAATTTGTAATTCTTTTTGAGGGAATGCGTTGTTTAAGAAAAATCAGGGGTACAAATTGCAACTTTGATAAGTTAATTAACACCCGTGTCCCCTTCCTCCCTCACCACAGTTTAACGGTACAGTCCTGGTTGAAATCTTTATTTATCCTGTGTTAAAACTTTACTTTAATGTAGAAAATTGGCATTTTCAATGACACTGAAGTGGAAAGTAACTGCATTAAGTTGTTTTCCTCTTTTGCTGCAGTCCAAATCTGCCTGTAGAATTGGCAGATATGAGCAGAAGCATCATAGATGGTGGCCAGAATTAAGCCAAGGAAAAAGTTCTGAAACAATGCAAACATTACCCCTATACTTTTGTACAGATCAGCATGATAGGAAGCTCCCTACTTGAAATATTGGTTAGACTGCAGCAATATGCCCAATGCAAACTTTGGGGTTCCCAAACCTTGGCATTTGCCAACCTGCACCTAATACCTTCAGGGATTAGGTGAGCAGAGCGCAGTCCAGTCCAGTTCATTCAGTGACAGAGCGCGCATTCCATTTCAGACACCGAGACATTTTCATGTTTATGTAGAAGTTTCTGCATGTGTGTGACAGAACCATCGGCTGACTGACCAAACAATCAAATCCTTTGTGAATTCTTTTGAAAATGGTAGACTTACACCTCATTGTGATCAAGCAGAATTTTCCGATTGCCTTTTACAAACACAGAGTGTTGTGTTTTACGGGTGACTGCTGTGGCTGTAACTCTAATTTCCATCTTCGTTTTTTTAAAATAACGTTCCTAGGTCATGGAAATGCAAGAAAACACGGACAAAGAAGGCGCAGAGGATTATGAGCATGACCTGAGTGAAACAGAAAAAGCTATAGTCAGAGAAATGTGTAATGTGAGTAAACTGTGCCACAGCATTCAGCTCCTGCTGTGTCTCCCACCCAACTCTCATTTAGTGGACCCTTAGTCCCTGAAAAAGAAAGGAGGAAATTATAGTGTCTCAACATGATGCAGTCAACCTTTATTAACTCATTTTATTTTTAAAAAAGAACATAAATTAGAAAATTGCTATTGGTGCTTATAGAATGTACAACAGGTTTTGTGAGTCTCCCCCAGTCCTCTTCATACTAACCCAACGGTACGGATCCAAACACTAACTTCCAAAAAAAACCACACACACATAACCACAGCCAATCTAGTTTGTTGCATTCATATTTATATGCCCTGGGCCATGGATTAAAGCAGCTGAATTACATACTAACCAAGGAGAAAGTCTATCTTGTGGGGATTAAAAAAAAATCCAATGGAGACTTTCTCAAATTCATCATAATCCACTTTAGCTTGTGCTAGTGACTGGTCTTGGTTTAGTCACTCAATCCTAAGTGCTGGAACAACCAGGGCTCGATCAGGTGGAAGAGCTTAGCCGTAAATAACATGCATTAGCAAAATAGAGAGGTTCTTTATAGTTGTTTTGACCAGAGTACAATCGCATATTGACCAGGGTATAATTGTGTATTGAAACCTTTCTGTTATTGGGTCTGGATGAGGAAAGGTGAGGAGGAGCCACGCCTTACATCAGAGCCACTTTACCGAGTGACCAGCGATGTGAAATTCTATCGCACTGGTTTGAAATATTGTTCAGTGAAACCCGGAGATCTATACGAAACCAGCACCTTTGAAGAGTCCAGTGCTATCTCATGAGAGCGAAGAACACTATTGCCATTGGACAAAGTGAGAGTTTATATCAAATAAACATAAAAACACACTAAGCCATGAAAGCATGGTATCATTAATGCAGCCCAGCCAAGACCAAAAAGGAATGCAGAGTGAGAGAAATCACCACCAACGAGAGCAAATTGCATTTATATAACGCCTTTCACGTTGGGAGGATGTCCCAAGGCGCATAAAATAAAAAGTCTCATCTATGTTAATTCATTGATGAGAAAGACATTTATTGTTGTGTAACGCTCACGTCAGAACAACTCTGACTTGGAGCCACTGTTGAAGTACTGCCTATGTAAGATAAACAAGGCAAAGTCATTCCAAAAAATGATAAGAACCACTCAAATGATTTATATGCTGCACTCACACACGAACACACACACGCACACACAAGTGTAATTAATTTAGAAGAAGGCAAGAAATCACAAGATTTGTTTGGATGAAGAAGGCCCTTCGGCTCATCGATTTCATCCCTGCAGAAAACCCACCCTACAATCCTTTCATCACAGCATCGAGCTGTTTTTTTTTAATGTGTCCCAGTGTCCTGGCCTCAATCACCCTTCCTGACAACTTGTTCCAGTCGTTAATTACTCTCTAGGTATCTCTGAAGGCACGCTGATTGTCTGATTCCTCACACTCTCTGAAGCTGCCTTTAAGAACGCAATGAGGGAAGTCTGCTATGGTTCCATTCAGCGTGATAGTAAATTAGATAAAGCTACCACTGTCTCCTTTTGGGCCTATTTACAGGTTGTGTGGCGGAAGCTGGGAGATGCAGCAGCGTCAAGCCCAGCAATCAGACAGCACCTGTCAGGAAATCAGTACAAAGGACCAATGTAACTGGGCTTATTTCTCGTTGTACTAACTAGAAGAAATTTTTAAAAAAACTTTTTTTTAAAAAAAAAGAGAGAAAAAGCAGTAGTGTCAATAAGAAGGCAATTTTTCACCTTGATTTGAAGAGAACCATTCAGCATGTCTATTGGTTTGAAGCAGTAGCACTCCCTACTGGAAAAGATGTGTAATTGCATGTTCAACCAGCAATGGACTGATTATTTTAGTGCAGAACTGATGCAAACTTCTTGATGCCTCTGCAGTCTGAAATGTGAAGTGACTGTTCACATTTCAATTGAAACCTGTTGGTAGCAACAGCCGACAACATTGATTCACTGTTTCGTGTATCCAATTGGATTTCAGTACTAAAGAGAAATCAGTATTAAACTGGAAGTCTAAACACTAAAGACAAAATAAACCCGCGCCATTCCAGTACTTCGATTCACAATATATATTGTGGAGCAGAGACGGGTTGGTTTAGCAGTGTTACTAGAAACGTGTTTGGCATGTGAAACAATTTAGCAACACACTTGGTAGATAAAGCAATACCGTGCAAAGGGCTTAAAAAAACACAACTAGACAGCTTCCCGTCAACTAAAATTATTTAGAGCTAATAAATCTAGAGATAGATAGATAGATAGATAGATAGATAGATAGATAGATAGATAGATTGATTGATTGATTGATTGATTGATTGATTGATTGATTGATCGATGTAGCACAGGAATCTTGTGGTAATTTGGATGGACCGATAGTCTACACCTCCTTGAAACTGTTAATAGATTATGATGTATGTTACAATGTAAAAGCAGCCGTTCTGGCTGCGCAAAAGGTGACGTGAGCAATATACCAACAGTTGTTTGCGCTGTGCAGTGAGAATGTATGGCAACTAACAGGTGTAAAGTGAACGTCAAAATACGAACGGATGTTTTGGGTATTTACCCTCGAGGTGAACTTAATCGAAAGGTTGAATTTGAGAGCTGCTCTTTTGTTCGGAAAACCATGGGTCGAACTTGAAGCAGTTTTGAGATTAAAAATCCGGTTCCAAAGCCGAACTGTCTTTGTTGCTCCTAAAGTTATATCCTTTAAGGTAGTTGCTAACCCAGAGGCACCACAAGCAAGGCAGGGTTGTGTTACCTCCCATCCCCTGACTCCTGTCAATTTTAGGGGGCTGCGTAGAACTTCATTCAAAAGAGAATTTTAAGCATTTGAAGTAGCAAAACGTTAATGTTCCTGAGCTGAGTTCGGCCACTCAGACCTCCGTTGTGATACTGTATTAAACTTTGATTAAAGATGTTTTATTAAAACGGTGATATTTTATCAAGATTGCTCTGATAATCTGTATGTTTTTTTTAATGTGAACTGTACATAATTTTATATATATATATATAAAAAGTAAAAAAGAACTTCTAAAGCTGCTAGATATGTTTTCTCCCAGGGTCCTGCATTGGCTCTCTTAGAACTATCAAAAATCAAATTTACGCAATACCTGCACAGACCTTAATGTAGCGATGGAAAAGTTCTCAATTCCAAATATTGACGTCACCAGTTTTCCCAAACTGTTCAGATCAGTAAGTAATTTGGCTGAAATGAGCCTTCTTTAATGATTGACTGAAGCAGGGTGTGTCCATTTGCTGGAAATGCAATGATTTCTGCAGTCTGGACTTAACCTTTACTAATAAGAACCTTGATCGATTTTACCCCTGCCCATTTCCTTGCTTATGCATCGTGCACAGTTAGACATTTCTAACATATTATGACTCTCCATATCTAGTTTGCCCTAATCCAGACACTAACATTTTTAGTTTCTTAATTTTACCAAATCAGCTAGCTAAACACTTTATTTGTGTTAAAGATTAGCGTCATTAGAGATAATCATTACAATACATAATCATTTGCACCCATCTCTCCGATTGTTATTGGAGCACAGACACATACAGTGGTTTGTAAAACAAACACAGATATCAAGCCTTCCAAAACTTTCACATTTATGTATTGAATTATCCTGATATTTTAGTCATATTTTTAGTCTGTTTTTCTATATTCTTATACAACTTATACATGTGTAAGTATCAAGATGATCTGACACAACTTTCTTTACCTCTCCTCAATACAGTTATTTATACCAGTGGCGAAAGCCCATTTTATAAATATATAAAACATTTAGGGAGGCTTTGTTTTTAATAAGTGTAACTATTTCTTTTAAAATTTGATACATAAAAGTTTTGTGAATAAAATATACTCCCAGTCCTTTCTGGTATTGCACATGGCATGTTACCGTCACAAGGATGGTGTTGTGTCTGGGGACGCCCTCAGCACCTCCTCTGTCTCCTGGAAATGATGTGAAATCGGGCTTGCTTTACATTTTCAGATGAGGCGCACTGCAATGAGACATTGCGATGAATTGATTTTTGTTAGGTTTGTTTGTTTCGAGCCAATGAAAGGAAATCCTACAATCCAACAAGCTCTGTGGGGATCTTATCAATGCATGGTTAAAGCCGTCTGTGGCAAGCTGGTGGGAAATGAGACATGAATGGGAGCTCGCTCGATCATGTTCTTAACTCACTGTAGCTCCACCATCTGGAATTGTTCTTTTTATATGATGAAATGCAAGGATTATTATTATTATTTACTATCTTTCTTGATTTCAGCTGGTTGTCNTTTTTTCTCTTCATAATGGAACGTTGGCTTGTTTGTTATGGATCAGTGTTATTCTGAAGGGGGATATCCCCTTTTTACTCCAGTTTGGGTATAAAAAAATGGCTGCTTCTGGCCCTCCAGGTACTTTGAGGTTTTTCTTGTAAACCTGCTGTCTTAGTCCTACATGAATGTTTTGATATGATGAGCTGTATGTTGTAAGCCTTAAGCATCCCTGTAATTTAACACGTTTCCCTAAGCGGCCAGTTTGTTACCTTGTTGGACCTGTATTGCTAGATGATGGATATTCCAGACAATGTAGACGTTGTGTATTGTATTTAATCAGAGTCTTGATGCAACAGAAGTGCTCCTAAAGCATTGAACAATCACACACGTGATAGCAGATCGTAGACTGAAAGTGCCGGTGCACCGATCAAATGAACTGATCCTGTTCCGTTAAAACACGTTGTATCCATGTTGCTGCTTACTGGAGAAGCCCAAGTTACAGTTGGTACACTTAGCTGCCAGTAGGGAGCTATGGCAATAGACCACTGGGTATAGATCACAAGTGAGGTTCAGGCGAAGAAGGCCCTTCGGCATTTTTTGATCTGAAATTTCCAGATTGCCAACCCTCTCAACAAACTGCTTCTTAAATGAATCCCATCATCCTGATCTCAACCACCCTTCCTGGAGACCCTATTTCCAGATGTTAATTACCCTCTGGCTAAACAAATGCTTCCCCCAGTATGTGTCTTTAAATTGCCCTTCACATTCCCCATGGTCAATGTATTCAGTCAGGAGTTGTGTCGTAGGTTCGTTCATAGTTAGCTGATATCAGCCAGGGCAGCAGGGGGAGGGAATGGGGGCTACAATAAGAAATCCTGTTAGAAATGATTGCAAATTAGACTCTCATATTCGCTTCAGCAGCTGAGTGACCAGCACGCCACGGGCTTTAACAGCAGCAAAAGAAAAACAAGAGCAACCGTCCATGTTTCAGGAATTTCCAGCCTTTCCAAAGGCCCCACATGTTTCCGATGACTTTTTTGGTTGGCTTTTGCCAAAAGTGAACAATTTAAAAAAAAAGTTCCTCCTGACCTGAAAGTGATCAACCTTTTTTCTACGTAGTTCTACATTGTTCGGAATAATTTAGTCATGACAATAATCTCTCCGGGATGCCTCGGTGCAGAAATGTGTTGATAATCAACCGTGTTTTGAAACTCACTAGCGCACGGTTCCAGTCAGTGGTGGTGTTGAAAGAGTTTGTTAATGGTAGTGCAAGGTGGCTGGCTGTGTAGCTCACTGTGGTGAGATGCTTGCGCTTTTTACATGTTGTTAATAAAAACAAAAACGCATTTTGCTATCTGTGACGATAAATAAAAGGGTGCAGTGGTTACCAAGAATTTTAGGTCCAGTTTATTTTAAAGAGAAGGTATACTTAAAGGGAGGGAACCCCCCAGAAATGAAGTAGGCAAACTCAAGCCCCTGACAAGGTTATCCTGTGTCCTGTAGCATCAGTGAAGACTTCAAAAGATATACATATTGGTGAGAAACTCACATTTGAATGACCCTAACGCTGGTCTGACATTCACCGAGCTTGTAGCCAATGAGGACCATTTGACTTTAAAGTTTAAGCTCACACAGAACTGAGGAAAGGTGTCAAATTCAGTCTTAATTCAGAATTTAGCTTTTCCACAATCTATATATATATATATATATATATATACTCTTATAAGAAACGGCTTCCAAATTCAGACTGAATTAAATAACCTTGTACAGCTCTGCCCAATCTGAAGTGACAAATAATTCTTGGTACATTTTTGCAAACGTTTTCATTATTACTACAGGGTGACCAAACGTTGAAGATAACTACTCTATTATCTAAAAACAGCAAATATATCATCATTTCTTTAAGGCTTATTAGACATTATAATTGCATCACAACTTTTTGGTCACCCTGTATAAGTGCTCGGGCCCGCTACCCTGTGTGAGGGGCACTATACAAATGCAAGTTGTTGTTGTTGCGTGAAGGAGAGGGAGGGGGATTGCTCCAGCTTAGTTGGATGAATCAAGTCTCTTCCTACCTTGAGGATTCCAACACATTGGGCTCGTTGCAAATTGCCATATGTGGTAGCTTACTTCTTCTTTGGGTTGCTTTACTTTGCTGTAAAGGTCCTGAGCTTTCAGTAACCGCTGCATTCCTATTACGTGTGAAATGTAACAATTATCCAAGATTTGTGCCTGCAGCATGTTGCTGCAGTTCAATCCTGAACGACTTTTAGGGGGGAAAATAACTTACTATGTACATTTTTGTGGAAAATTTTGATATTGTACGTTATTTTTTTACGCTCTTAAGTACTGATACAGTTGAGTATGTATCCATAAATGTAACATGAATAAAATATGGAATGGTATTACTTTTATTGTGGTCTGTATTCTTCCTTGACTCTGTTCCTACACAGAGATATATATATATATATAGTATATATATATGTGTGTGTGTGTGTGTGTGTGCAGAATGCTTGTTTTAGAAGTAATCCTCATATCAGTCATTTATGACCCTAAAGAAGGCA